GTGTGTGCGTGCGTGTGTGCGTGCGTGTGTGCGTGCGTGCGTGTGTGCGTGTGTGCGTGTGTGTGCGCGTGTGTGCGCGTGTGTGTGTGTGTGTGTGTGTGTTTAATGTCTGTGTAATGTGTGTTTGTGTGTCTTTGTGTGTGTCAATGTATGAGAAAGAGTGTCTATGTGTACATGGGGATTGTGTGTGTCTGTCTGTGATATTTTGTGTGTGTGTGTGTGTGTGTGTGTGTGTGTGTGTATATACATAGTATGTGAGCTGCTGTAGTCAGTGTATGAGTGTGTGTGTGTGTGTGTGTGTGTGTGTGTGTGTGTGTGTGTGTGTGTGCGTTCCTCATGCATTAGCTCTCTGACCTTAATGTAAACACTTTACACACATTTATTTGGCTATAGGACGTTGTGTGTGTGCATGCCTGTGTGTGTGTGTGTGTGTGTGTGTGTGTGTGTGTGTGTGTGTGTGTGTGTGTGTGTGTGTGTGTGTGTGTGTGTGTGTGTGTGTGTGTGTGTGTCAGTTGTGCGTCTGACAGGTGTGTCCGTCACAACAGAAGTGTGTCTGGCTGCAGATTCTGCCAAGTTCATCAGCAGAGTGAATGAAGCGCTGTGAGACTCATTTAAAGTCCATCACATCATCCTGCAGCTTGTGGGACACACTCCAGCCCATAAACACACACAGTCTCTCACATTTACACACACACACACACACAAGCACCGGCATACCTGTCATTTTCTTTTCGGCTTTGTTCCTTTATTAATCCGGGGTCGCCACAGCAGAATGAACCGCCAACTTATCCAGCACATGTTTTATGCAGCGGATGCACTTCCAGCTGCAACCCATCACTGGAAAACATCCACACACACTCATTCACACTCATACACTATGGACAATTTAGCCTACCCAATTCACCTGTACCGCATGTGTTTGGACTGTGGGGGAAACCGGAGCACCCGGAGGAAACCCACGCGAACGCAGGGAGAACATGCAAACTCCACACAGAACACAGTGTTGAGGGAGGTGTCGCGGACACCGTCCTCTCTATTCTGCTGCCCTAGGTGCAGATATTACTGAGACGGCGGGGGGTAAGGGAGGTGTCGCGGACATAACTGAGGGCGCGGGTGTTGAGGGAGGTGTCGCGGACGCTGCCCTTTCTATTCTGCCACCTAGGTCGCCTTTATGGACGCGCCGGCCCTGCAATTGACCCAGCCGAGGCTCAAACCAGCGACCTTCTTGCTGTAAGGCGACAGCACTACCTACTGCGCCACCGCCTTGCCTCAATTCTTTTTTTGGACGGATAAAAGTTTGGGAGGCAGTGTGTCAATACAATGCACAAATACTGAGGTTGAATTTATTTTTTAACATGTGAAAATTACGGATGAAAATTTCGGATTCAGCGTGCAATAACCTTCAGTCGAAAGACAATAAATGAAGGGTTTCAAAATGACCGCTTCACCGTGTTGTTCTTAAGTGGTTTTATTATCCAGATGCACATTAGACCTGTGCAGTTTCATTTGGAAACCACCTCCAGAAGTTTTTGAAGGATCTACATCAGCCTCAAATGCGTTTCAAAGAGCATTTACCAATCCGGGCTCATTGTGGAAACGTAGCCCCGCGGACGTTTCTGGAGGCCGCGAAATATGTCCCAGGAGGTACGTATTCGAGCAGTTTTTGTTTTAGCGAATCCGCTAGAGGCCGCTGTGCGCGCTTTTCCGCATCTTGGAAGCCTCTCGGTAGCGCGCCGTTCGCGCCCGTATTGTTCTCGCGTGAAATGTCGCCGTCCGTCTGACTGTCTGGCTGAACGACTGAACGACCGACCGGGCGGCCAATCGGCCGACCCAGCAGCCCTCCTCCTCCTTCTCCTCCTTCCCTAAACCCAAGCGACGATTTGCTAAAGCCATCCAGAAAAAAAAGCAGAAGCCCTCGTTTGATTTAGACCGAGTTTTCGGATCTCGCCCCGTCACAAACTCGGATTCTGTTTTTCATCTTACCTGATTTCTGGAACCACTCTTTTCCGGACTCGATCCCGGTCGTCGCCGTGGCCGGCTCCTTCTCCCTCCGGGCCGCCGACGTAATGCTGCGAGCTAAGCGGACAAACTGGTTGAGGCGGGAAAGCCCTCCACACGGAGGCGAGTTGTCAGCCGGCGAGCGCGAAGAGGAGGAGCGGAGCGGCGTTCGCTCGATTAAAAAAAAAAAAAAAAAAACGCGGCCATACGTACCTCCGGCCACATAAATCGCGGTCTCCAGAAACGTCCACGGGGCTACGTTTCCAGAATGAGCTTGGGTTGGCATTTACTGTCAGCCAGCTTTACCATGAAAACAGATGGAGTGAGCATGTAAACACGTCTGCTAATGGACAGCTTCTGTGTTTTAGTGTGTGTTTTGTGTTGTGAACTGCATTATGGGATGTTGATCTCTGCTCTGTCCACTTCTGATGTTGTATATTCAGCTCTACAGTTTAACTAAGTGACTTTATTGACTTTTTAGTCATTTGAAATAATAATATAATGTATATTAAACAATATCTAGAGCAATAAGTGTGTAAGAGAACCGAAAATGTGCTGCAGTTTATTAAGGTGTTCATAATATGTGCTGCAGTTTATTAAGGTGTTTTTTTTTAGATTTACAGATGTTTGTTTACAGTGTGACCTGTTTCTCTGTTCTTTATGTGTCATTGAAATTCAGCTTTATAGTCAGGGAGTATCAGGAAGAGGTCGGAGAGTTTGGTGTTTGGTTTAGAGTGGGAACCCTGTGGCATTTAAGGCATTTATTCAGTTTTCACACCTTGACAGTATGATGTCTCTCTCTCTCTCTCTCTCTCTGTGTGTGTGTGTGTGTGTGTGTGTGTGTGTGTGTGTGTGTGTGTGTGTGTGTGTGTGTGTGTGTGTGTGTGTGTGTGTGTGTGTGTGTGTGTGTGTGTGTGTGTTTTCCAGCTCGATCCGGATCAGTCGGAAAGGCTGGCACATGCTGCTGAACTTCTGCTTCCACACGGCGCTGACGTTCGCTGTGTTCGCCGGAGGAATCAACCGAATCAAATACCCCATCATCTGCCAGAGCGTGAGTCCCCTCATCTGCTCAGCTCTGGAGATACACTGTTCATGTGTACGAGTGTGTGTGTGTGTGTGTGTGTGTGTGTTTGTGTGTTCATTTTCTTCATGCATTCGCACTCTGACCTTAATGTAACCACTTTACACACTTGTGTTTGTCTATAGGACTTTGCATGTGTGTGTGTGTTTGTGCGTGCGAGTGTGTATGTGTGTATTTGTGTTTTCACTTTTATATGTTTGTGCAGTTGTATATGTGTGTGTGTGTGTGTTCACTTTCCTCATGCATTCGCTCTCTGGCCGAAATGTAAACACTTTACACATTTATTTGACTATAAGACGTTGTGTGTGTGCATGCCTATGTGTGTGTGTGTGTTTGTGTGTGTGTGTGTGTGAGTGTGTGTGCGTTCCTCATGCATTAGCTCTCTGACCATAATGTAAACACTTTACACACATTTATTTGGCTATAGGACGTTGTGTGTGTGCATGCCTGTGTGTGTGTGTGTGTGTGTGTGTGTGTGTGTGTGTGTGTGTGTGTGTGTGTGTGTGTGTGCATTCCTCATGCATTAGCTCTGTGACCTTAATGTAAACACTTTACACACTTTTATTTGACTATAGGACGTTGTGTGTGTGCATGCCTGTGTGTGTGTGTGTGTGTGTGTGTGTTTGTGCGCGCGCGCGCGTGTTCCTGATGCGTTTGCTCTATGACCTTAATGAAAACACTTTACACACTTTTATTTGTCTATAGGACGTTGTGTGTGTGTTTGTGCGCACATGTGCATATGTGTGTGCGCAGTTGTGCGTGTGTGTTCACTTTTCTCATGCATTTACTCTTTGACCTTAATGAAAACACTTTACACACTCCCATTTATACAAAAGATTAGTAAATAATACTGTACAAAATACCGATCACGTTAAAGGAAAAGGGGAACTAGAACTAAATACCATAATCGAGGATGAGGTCAGGACTGAGTTATGTGAAGGATGTCATAAAGGAATTAATAGTCAATTGTGGAAAGAATTTGATTGGAAAGTAAAAATGAGATACTTTAATACTCCTTGTGTAATATCTACATACGTAAAAGGACCATCAGTAGCTTTGTGTTGGAGAAAATGTGGTAAAATTGGAGATCATACCCACATTTTTTGGGACTGTCCTACGATGCAAGAGTTTTGGAAAAATGTTAAAAAAAGAAATAGATAATATATTAGATAGGGAGATACCCCTCGATCCGGTTGTGTGTTTACTGGGAGCACTGCCCAAAGAGATGTTTGATAAGGAAGCAAGATTTGTCCAAAGGATATTATTACTGGTTGCAAAAATAATGATAACAGTACATTGGATGGAAGAAAGTTCTCCAAAAGTGTCTCAGTGGATTCAGAGACTTAAACAGGTCTATATAATGGAAAAAATGACTGCATGTCTACAGATGAAAACTGATATTTTTCTAAGGAGGTGGAAAAGTATTACGATATATTTGGATATGTATATTTAGAGATTGCTTAACCTCACCTTAACATGACTGTTATTAATGCAACTACTATGCAATACAATGTAACTTGATGTACAGATGTATCCCCTGGAAAGTAATTATGATGGCAATACCTTTTATTAAAATTTTTTGTTATTATATATATTTTTTTATTTTCTTCTTTATTTTTTATTATTATTATAATTTCATTATTTATTTATATTTATTTATTTATTTTTTAGGTATCCCCTCGTGTGTAAGGGGTAAAATTTTTGGGGAAAGGGTTGTTCTGTAAAATAAATATATAGAAAAATCTTAAATAAAAAGTAAAAAAAAAAAAAAGAAAACACTTTACACACTGGTGTTTGTCTATAGGACGCTGTGTATGTGTGTTTGTGTGTGCCTATGTGTGTGTGTTCACTTTCCTCATGCGTTCCCTCATTGATCTTAATAAAAACAATTTACACACTTTTATTTCTCTACAGGACATTG